AATTTTTTAATATTTATTTTTTAGTTATTGGTGGACACAACATGGTTGTTTGTATGTGGTGCTGAGGATCGAACCCAGGCCACACGCACGCCAGAGGAGCATGCTACCGCTTGAGCCACATCCCCAGCCCCAAGGTCACATTTCTTTGCCTAGAAAAGATGCAGAGATTTGGTAGCTGGACCTCAGCTCAAAAGCCCTTTCTGCCAGCCCCCTTTACTTTGTGTGTGTGTGTGTGTGTGTGTGTGTGTGTGTGTGTGTGTGGACTTTACTAAATCACTGAGGCTGACTTCACACAAGATCCTCCTATGTCAGCTTCATCAGTGGATGGGATTACAAATGTGTACCACTGTGCACAGCATCCCAAAGGTATGATATCTGAAGGTGCCAAAGAAACTGTGGTTAGTTCCATCAGTTTCCAGTGGCAGGAAAGGCATTGCTTTCTCACTCTATGCTGCGAGATGAGCTGGTGCGAGAGAGACAGGAGAACCCTGCACACAGGAACTTCATACTGCTCCATCTACTCCATATTGCTTGGGGATGGACCTGGCCAGAGAGGCCTTTAGGGTTTATAGAATCTGTCTTCACGTGCAGATGAGAAAACATTGGAGGGAAGTAATCTGTCCAAAGTCACATACTCTCTTGACTCTGTCAGTGCTTTCTGTCTTGGGCTGGGCTACTGAGAATGGACCACTTTGGGCAGGCAGGGTTTCTCCAGGAAACCCTGACTCTTGGGCTCTGAAGAGTCAATGACCTATGACTCTTGGGCTCTGAAGCCTCTTCAACTGGACTAGGGCGGGGTCAGGTCACTGAAAGCTAGGATGGTCCCACACCCAAATGATGATGAAGATACCTCTAGCAAGGTGCTGCCTCACCTCCCCCAAGCATTTCCCTACCCACACTCCACCTCCCATCCTACCCTTCCTCCCATCTGACACTGTCAGTTGCTTCCATAGCCTATGTCCCCAGGAGATCCTTCAGGGCACAGAATAACAAGATAACTGATGGGCCAGGACATGTGGTTCCCAGATTATTTTATCTGGTCAGTAAACCGTTACATGTAGGCCAAGCCTGGCTCAGGCACTGGTGAACATTGATTTGGAGGGCAGGCATGCCAGGACCCAAGGTCAGGAGGGGCCCCCAGGACAAACATTTCCTCCTATCCCGGTTGCTCTTTCAGGCTGAAATCCCCTGACCGAGGGACAGTGAGAAATTTAACAGAATCCTACTTTCAACCCCAAAGTCAAATGGCCAGTTTCCCTTATAGCAATTCTGATGGAAAAGGTCTGAGGGCCAGAGTTAAAACCTCTAGAGCAATTGTCACAAAGCAGTGCCCACCGCAGTGCTCATTTTGTTAAATTAAAAACTCTTGTAGGCGTGGTGGTGCATGCCTGTAATCCCTGTGGCTTGAGGGGCTGAGATAGGAGGATTATGAATTCAAAGACAGCCTCAGCAACAGCAAGGTGCTAAGCAACTCAGTGAGACCCTGTCTCTAAATAAAATACAAAATAGGGCTGGGGGTGTGGCTCAGTACTTGAGTGCCCCTGAATTCAATCCCCAGTACCACGCTGCCCCCCCAAAACAACAACAACAACAAAAAACCTCTTAGCTCCAAGGGTGTTATCTCCACACTGTCTGGATTAGCACAGACAGCAGGGAGTCAGGAGGGAAAGACAGGAAACAGGACAGCAGATCCTTGTAAGAACCAAGGTCACTACAGGATGCCAGTTGGGTGAAGGCCCTCACTGTGCCTGGGGATGGGCATCTGGGAGAACTTCCTGACAGAGGGAGACTGCTAATTTGCGATTTAGGTCATCTATGTGAGTTGGGCAGGCCCAAGGATGGAAGGGGATGAGGGTCATTTAGTCAAAAGGGGTGACTCTGGCACTGTCTAGGGATCTCAGTGCCTTGAGGGTTGAGAGTGAGCTGGGATGGGAGAAGAGTTATGGAAGGGTGTGGTGCTGGTCCCTGGCAGGGTTGAAGAATGAGGGTGGAATATTCTGTCGGGGAACCTCAGAAGAGAATCCCACACAGGTAAGTTCAGGGCTCCTTGAGCTCCCGGGAAGTGAGAATATGAATCCTTCCACCCTGGGAAGAGCCCATGGGCCTTGCTGGGTGGCTCTTTGCTTGCAGCCTGGCTGGTTGTTAAGAGATCTCCCTGACCTGGTGACTTTCTTCCTGATGGCCTGCTTCCTTGACATATACTTGACACCCACTCTCCTAGGGCACCCCTTCTCTGCCTGTAGTCTCCACCACACTGCTCGGTGCAGCATAGGGACTCAGAAAGGGAGCAGGGTAAGAGTGCAGCTCCATCACAATTTAGAATCCTGGAAAACCAGAGCCAGAAGGGGCAATGGGATTATCTAACCCAAACTTAACCAATTTACCAATGAAGAACATAGAGAGGGAGACTAAGGCTATTCACTCAATTGGGAGCAGAGGTCAAATGGGAACTCTGGCCTTCCAACCTCCAACCAAGAGTGTTGTTTTTCTACACAGGACCTTGCAAGAAAGAAACCAGCGTTTTGGCTAGAGCTGTGGGAGTCACTTGGTAAGTTGACTTGAGATACTGCATTGAAGTTAAATGCAGTCACCTTAGGATAGTCTCTGGAACCAGTCTATTGATAGGCCTCTACATGGTCATTGACAATGTAGCCTTTTTTTTTTTTAATATATAAATACTTAGTATTCTGGCTTGGCCAGAATAGTCTCATATTAATTTGTTTAGCTTATCATTGTGATGTAGGATGGATGAGGCTGGGCACCCATGGAATTTTCAGGAAACAGGTTTATTTAACTTAACAGAAGTACAAATATAAAAAATTCAGGTAGAGAATTTGTAGAAATCATGAGTAATGCTGTGAAGTCTCAGGAAACTGAGAAGTCCAGTTTGAGCCCCAAAGAGCTGGGACAAAGTCCTGAGGATTGGGTGGAAACAGGCCAGGTCGAAGCTGCAGACTCTGTTGTGATGGGGCATAATGTGGAACTGGACTCTTGTCCTCTGCCTACCCCATGCTCCAGCCCTCTCCCTCTGATGGGCAGGCATGGGAGTGTCCTTCCTGTGGTCTTAATCACATGGCAACCTATAGGTTCCAGATAGCTCAGAGTCCACCTGGGCTAGATGTGCCCCTTCTCGTCCTTGGGTCCTTATCTGTAATGTGATGGAGTGGACAATCTCTTGGAGAGATTGGTGGATGGGAGAGAAGGGGCAAGCACATCCATTCATTGGGGTCACCACTACAAACTGGGTAGTATTTCTGAGAAGAGCTGAAAAGAATCATCTTATCCTTTTCTCTACTTCTGAGACATTTTTTTGAAATAAGGCAAGAAGAAAAGGCATGAGTCTCAAAAGGACCGAAAATCACCCCTTAATTACAACATAGAATTTACTCCCCCAGCTGACAGCAAACATTTTGTCCACAGATAATCATCTGGTCCTGTGGCAGCCTTGGGAGAGGCCCCCTCTGAACTCTCAGGCCCATATTTCTTCTCCTTTATGGTGATCTCAGAATGCTATTATTTGTGTCCTGCCAATACTCCCAAAGGATCTGAGGGTTGACTCCTTTCTATCCTGTATCCCCGGGACTCAACAGTTGACCTGAACCAGAGAAAGCACCAAAGAGCCAATCAGTGGAGATCAAGTGCTTTGGATACAACTCATCCTCTCCCTGAATCCTTGAAGCACCTCTGCACTTGACTTTCCAGAAGGAAGCAGAAGCAGGTGGAAATTCAGCGAATTTACACACAGGAGGCTTGAGCACTGGCCTCTGGGGAAAAGACAAGTCCAGCTGACCTTGTTAAAGAAAGCCCTAGGGCTCTAGGCCACCTCTTTTTGTTTGCTCTCTGCTAGCCTCCTAGCTTTTTTGGCTCAGCAACGCCCAGGATTCTGGGCATATTTGTTTCCAGCCTTCTAAAAATAACCTGGGCCGCCTAGTGCCTCCCAGATGTCTGAGCGCTGAGTCTGTGATTTCCCGGCTGGTAATGGGACAGCCCAGACATGGGCAGCTGGGGTGGCTCAAGCAGCTAAAGCCACTTCCTCTGCCTCCCACCCAACGCCTACTAAGAGCTCAGCCCTACTTCTGAACCCTTGCAAAGCAAAGGAGGGCAGAGGCTTGGCTGCTTGAGTGATAGGCCTCAGAGATTGTTGACTCCACTCTCTGCTTGGGAAAACCAAGATCCAAGGACTTTCCTAGAGCACTTGCACCATTAAGATCCTCCCATCCACTCCCCAGCACTCAGTTCATGCCTACTGCTGCCTCACTTCCCTCTTGCTGCCAGGAGTCCAGGTCTCTGAGCTCAGTCTGACTTTCCCCATGACAGCTGTAAATTCCTAACAAGAGTGATGTCCCCAGGAGGTTTCCAATGGTGCCTGGAAGTGTCCAATCCAGAGCACACATTAGCAAATGTAGATTGGATTAAATTATGTAGTAGTAGCCAGGGCCATGCATGGAATCAGGCTGGGGGACAGAGCTTTTGGATTCTAGTTTAGGTGTAGGCATTGTGACATTGTGTGTCCCTATCAATTTCCCTGGATGAGTCTGTTGAATTGGAGCTGGATGAGATAGTATCTTAGGACCTAGCCAGCTCTATTGTCTTAAGGCTATGAGTTGATACCCTGTTGGGTATTCCTGTCCCTTCCTCTGCTCCCCAGTGTGTGAGGAAGTTGGCACACCCTGCTGGTTCCACCCAGATCTCAGCTTTTCCCTCTCTGCTTCCTAACTTTCTAAGGGCCTGGTTCCTGGCCCCTAGGCCCAGCTCCCCCAGTGGTGCTACCTCTGTCTCTGCCACTGGGTTCCCAGGGGTGAATCAACCCATCCCTTATTGAACATGCGACCTAGGGTAATGCCCCTTTGCTGAACTTCAGTTTTATCACCTCTAAAATAGAGATAATAGGGCTGAGGACAGAGGTCAGAGGTAGGGTGCTTGCTTAATACATGCATGGACTTGGATTCAATCCCTGCCTTAACCAAAAAATTATAAAGATTAAAAATAAATAAATGAAAATAAATGGAGACAATAAGATCTACCTTAGAGAAATAAGGGCAAAGGGGATCTCATATCTCAGGTTTCAGGTCATAAATCATCTGCTGCAGAAAGTCTTCTCTGACCTCCCAGGATGGCAGCTATTGTGCCTTTGATGGCTCTTTAGTTCTGTCCTTCTCTCCTTCATGCACACATTACATGGTCATTGTCTATGTATCCATCCTCTACCAGATTGGTGTCTCCTCAAGGCCATGAGCCTTACCCAAGGGGCCTTGCTCAAGGTTGCATGTTTAATAAGGGATGGGGTGATTCAGGGCCCAATACAGTATCTTCACAATAAAATGCTCGAGAAAACTTGTCGATGGACAAAGTGAGTGAATAAAATCTGGAGAAAGGCAAAAGGGTGTGCAGAAGTCAGTGAGTCTGATTCAGGAGCAACCTGATTAACAGGACGAGTTCTGGGCATAAGAATATCAACTGCTGCTTGGAGCACTTCCCCAGTTTTTCTGCTTGGTGAATTCATCCCTCAAGATCCCAGGCAGACATCTCCTTCCCTGAGAAATCCGGTCACTCCCTCTGATGGCACAGTACACACTTCACTATAGGATTACTTCATGTGTCTGTCTCCTTGCTCAGGTGCTGAGTTTCCTAGGGCAAGACCCTATTGGATCTCAAAGCACTAAGCACTGGATCTGGTGTGAGTTCAACAAATGCTTGGAGAGAAAGAAATGATGGAAGATATGATTTCCGAAAGTTGAACTGCTTTTTTTCTTTTTTTTGCAGTATTAGGCTTGCACCCAGAGGGCACTCACCCACTGAATTATATCCCCAGTCCTTTATAGTTTGTATTTTGAGACAGGTCTATGCTAAATTGCTGAGGTTGGTCTGGAACTTTTGATCCTCCTGCCTCAGTTTCCTGAGTTGCTGGGATTATAGTCATGTGCCACCATGCCCAGCTCTGAACGGCCTGATTTTTAATGTCTCTCCTAGCCTTGAGGATGATGATAAATTACCAAAGTAAGAGAAGCGGAGGGGTGAGCTGTAGTCCTTCCAGAGCACCCTTCAAGCATGTGTGGGTTAAATGCGAGCTAGTAAGAAGGACTGATAAGGAGCAGTGAAAATATATTCTTGGGGCTGGGGATGTGGCTCAAGCAGTAGCGTGCTCACCTGGCATGCGTGCGGCCCGAGTTCGATCCTCAGCACCACATACAAACAAAGATGTTGTGTCCACCGAGAACTAAAAAATAAATATTAAAAAATTCTCTTTCTCCCCTGTCTTTCTCTCTCTTTAAAAAAAAAAAGAAAATATATTCTTGAATTCCATTTTTGTGTCTGGACTTTTCTCTCTGCTGAAGAAGGGCTGCAAAAACCAGACTTAGCATAAAAGTTTCCTGGGTATCCAGAAGATGTTCCTCAGCCCTTGATATAAACCCATTCACTTGTACTTTACACATTTAAGCCCACGGTGACCTGGTTGGGAATGGTTTAAAGGTTAAGTGGTGGGCAGTGTGGGGAGGAAGCGGCTGCTGAAGAGAGGCAGCAGGGAGTGCTCACCAGGGCTGCAGAAAGGGAGGCACCTGGAAGGCTGCTAGTGGGAGATAGAAAAATTAAGCATGGTCAGGAGTGGTAGTACATATCTGCAGTCCCAGCTACTTGGGAGGCTAAGGCAGGACGATCAATTGAGCACAGAAGTTCAAGACCAACCTGGGCAACAGAGTGAGAGCCCACTTCAAAATAAAATAAAATTTTGTCTGGGAGTATAGCTCAGTGATAGAGCATTTGCCTAGCCTATGTGGGGACCTAGGTTAAATCCCCCAATACCTCACAAGGACAAAAAGAAAGTACAATATCACACAGGTGAAAGCACTTTGGCACTTCAGAGCACCATAGGTTGGGACCATTTAGTTCAGGGTCAGGCTTCTTTACAAATAAATGTCCCTGGATACATTACTGTATTCTGCTCTGGGCAAGTCACTTTCTGGGCCAAGGTCTCCCTATCTTTAAAATGAACAATTTTCATCAAGAGATATAAGGGCTCATGATTCTCTAGGAGTTTCCTCATGGGAGACCTCTGTTCCCAACCATATATATCAAATGAGTTTTCATCAAGGTCAAGACCTCAGTCTCCAGGGTTTTTGGGTAATAATGTTTTCCTGCCACAAACCCCAAAGAGTCGAGTCTGTGCTTGGCAGGAGGCAATATATAACCCACTAATGCTGCCTGGGTTGGGCCCACAAGGAAAAGCAAAACTGTCCAGACGCTGGCACAGAGGCTGTGGCCCATGGTCTGATTGCTACAGAAGAAGTTAAAAGGAAGCCTGGCTCTGGTGGAAACAGAAGTGCCTGAGGTCTGACGGTTGCTGTCTGCATGGTCTCTGAAGCCAGGAGGGAAGTAAAACTGGGCATCTGGTAGCTTCTTGCCTGAAAGCCCACAGGACAGTGATAGATGAAGTCTGGTGCAGAAATGCTCTCTGGTCTATAGCCCTGGTCTAGGCCAGGGGCCATCCTTGGAGAATAGAATGGTTCAGAGTTTTGGGGGAGGGCAAAGGGAAAAACCTGAAGCTGGGTCACAGTGTTAAGCAAATTTCTGTGCCTCTTGGGATCCCAATTTTCCATTTTCAAAAAAAAAAAAAAAAAGGATATGGTTTGGGCACTAATGATTTCTGGAATGGTGAGTACTGGGGATACAGGGACAGTTTGAGTAAAAGGAACCTGGCCTGTTACCATATTGGCAAGGGAATCATAGCCTGGTGACAGGGGATCATGGGTTAATCATGCCTGTGTAGTTCCAAAAAGCTCCGGACATACAGCATTTAATGGAGCCAAGGGGCTCAGGGAAAGTTCCAGAGAGGATTGGGTGGCTTGCCACCAACACATAGCTATCAGTGTCCCAGCTGAGGACAGGGTCTGGAAAGAAAGAGGAATTCAGAAAAGGATGTAGCTAAATAGAAGTTCATTTATCTTCTGCTTAGTGCTATCATTAAGATTTGAACAAGGTTCTGGAACCCTGCGGGGATTAATTCTGAGTTAGGGAAAGGAGGAAGGACAGAAGCAGGGGTTTTTAGCTGGCATTTAAAGGATGAATGTGAGCTTATCAGGCAAAGAACAGGGGAAAAGGTGTTGAAAGGAGAGGGAACAGCATCTTCAGAAGTGTGAAGTTGATGAAAGCACATGTGTGTGCTTAAGCACATAAGTGTGGTGGCTCACACCTGGAATCCCAACAACTCAGGAGGCTGAGGCAGGAGGATCACGAGTCCGAGATCAGCCTGGGCAATTTAGCAAGACCCTGTCTCAAAATTATATATATATATAAAGGGCCCAGGGGGCTGGGGATGTGGCTCAAGTGGTAGCATGCTTGCCTGGCATGCGCGGGGCGCTGAGTTTGATCCTCAGCACCACATAAATATAAAATAAAGATGTTGTGTCCACCAAAAACTAAAATATAAATATTAAAAATTCTCTCTCTAAGTAGTAATAATAATAATAATAATAAAAGGGCCCAGGGTTTAGCTCAGTGGTAAAGCTCTTGCCTAGAAAACATGAATCCCCTGCACCACAAAAATAAAAAATAAAAACAAATACAAAGAACTTTTTTTTTTAAAGCTTCTGAAATTAAAGTTTAATTTTAATACAGTATGTTGTTGTGTTTCTCTCTTTTTTTTTTTTCTTGGTACTGGGGATTGAACCTGGGGCTTTACCACTGAGCCACGTCCGCGACACTTCTTCTTCTTCTTCTTCTTTTTTTTTTTTTTAAAGAGAGAGAGAATTTTTTATTTATTGTTTTTTAGTTTTTGGCGGACACAACATCTTTGTTTGTATGTGGTGCTGAGGATCCAACCTGGGCCGCACGCATGCCAGGCGAGCGCGCTACTGCTTGAGCCACATCCCCAGCCCCAAATACAAAGAACTTGATGAGTTGCTGTTAAAGTTTGGGACAACAAAATGGGCCTGAGAGATGAGCTTGGGTAGGTTTGCTGACATCTCTCCGTGAAAGGCCTTGAATGTCATGTTAAAAGGCTTGGGTTTAATTTGGAGGGTAGCAGGGAGCCTTGGAAGGGTCCTCAGCAGAAGAGCACAGAGAGAGAGCTTGCTTTGCTTGCTAGGAGGGCAGAAGGCAGGGGTGCTGGCTTGAAGTGACTGTAGGGAGGCAGAGGCAGGAGTAACTGAGAGTGTCAGGTGTCAGACCTAGCCCCTATCAAGAAATTGAAACTTTTCAGGAGTCTACAGAGGTATGGAGGAAATGAGAACTGAAACCTGGCCCTTCTGTGGCTATGGCAGGTGTGGTCAACAAGGGAAGTGAAAGGGTTGGGGTGACTGGCAGCCTAACCTTGGTAGGGGGTAGCTTGTGAAGGATTGCAGAGACCTGGTCCTCAGGCTGGAGTCCTGTTTCAGCATGTCACAAGGTGAGGGACTTTGCTCTGAGGGAAGCCAAGGGGCAGTGTGCCCAAGTCCCTACCCCTTGTTCCTGACCTCAAGAATCCTATTTCCTCAATCCCCAGCACCAAAAAAAGAATCCTACTTCCTTCTACCAAGCTTTTGCTCAACTTGTTCTCCTGAGATAAGCCTTTTTCTGGCCCCACCCCTACCTTTCCAGCACCCCAGGGTTCCTGCCAGGTCCTCCAGAAAGCCTGCCCCAGTCACTGCCATTCCTGGGCTTCTGTAGTCCTACTGTTTATGCAGCCTGAGGGGTGACTGTCTGCCACAGGCAGAGAGGTCTGTTGTCTTGCTTAAAATTACCTCCTACCCTCAGTGGCTGTTATCTTGCTTCAGGTGCTCCCCACATCCCCACAAGAGTACTTGGGAGTGTCAGATTAGTCAGAATCAGAGCCCTGAAGCATCCAAAGGAGCCAGCATTATGTGTGCCTGTCCTAGAACGGGGACATAGAAGTTCATGGACTAGGTGGTTTTTCTTCTGGGGAAAGTCTTGACCTGACTCATGTGAATAGCAGATCCTGGTGGAATGTCCTGTTTTAGTCAGGAAGAGGCTTCAATGAAGGGACTACTGAACTGAGGTGTGGCTAGACTAAAGGGACAAACAAAAGGAGGGCGAGGCAACCAGTCAGACACTGGCAACAATGGGAAACTTACCCCTAGGAGTGAAGGGGGTCAGGAATCATTGCAGGAGCCCAGTGAGAGGTAGGGCTGCTGGCAGGAAGTGTGATCAAGGAGGGAGGAGGTGGGGAAAACCCTGACCTCTCTCTTCTCTCATCCTCTAGTTTCCTCCTTGTCTGAATCAATGCATGTGGAAGTCAGTTGGCAAGGGGGCCTGGTGATGCAGACCCCAGGAGTCAGCCCCCTGAGACACTGCGTGGGGCTGAGTGAGGGTGCAAGTGGAGACTTAACAGTCTTTAGAAAATTAGCTCCCAGACAGAATATCTGGATAACCCAATGGCCTTGATACAAGTAGCTTACCTGTGATCAGCACTGGATTGCAGGAGGTTTTACCAGTTGCTCCAGAGGGGAAAGGTGAAGCTTCACTTTTACATTTATTCTTCTACCATCTAGAAAGAACTCCCTGGTCATCCTGGGCATGGGGATACACAACTGTAATCCCAGTGACTCGGGAGGCTGAAGTAGGTAGAAGGATTGCAAGTTCAAAGCTAGCCTTAGCATTTAGCAAGGCTCTAATGAGACCTGTCTCAAAATGATTAAAAATGATAAATAAATAAAGAACTCCTTGGTCTTGATGGTTAAGAACTAGAGAGTTTGGACTGTAGGGCTCTGTGGCAGAAGACTTGCCTAGCCCTGGGCGAAGCCCTGATTTCTCTCCCCAGCATTGCCAATAAACAAACAAACAAAAAATAACTAGTCAATGATGGAACCACATGGCCTCAAAGGTGACTTTCCCAATACCCACAGTGACTGAGTGGAACACAGTGGAAGGAGGTGTTGTGAGATGGTTTCCTAGAGGAACCAATATCCGGATTATGCAGTTAGGTCTATGTAGCTATAAAAGCAATAAACTAGTCAGTCTGACTTAGAACTTGACCACACTTTTAGCCAAGACCACAGGCTGAGTGCTCAATGGGCAGAGAGAAAAGACATTAGAATTAGTTTGGCCCAGCCAAGGCATGCTGTCCTTTAGACCCATTCTATCCTCTTCTTAAGGGTCACTTGCTCATAAGCCTCTCCCCAACAGAAGCAGCAGATGGACAGAGGGCTGGCTATGAGCCAGCAGAAGACAGGCCCACATAGACCCTCAAGTACACCTTTCCTCAGCCTGTCAGACCTGGCTGTCTGTACTCCTGGTCAACCTCTGCATCTTTAAGCCTTTAAATCCATTCATCCAGCATGCCTGCTGGGTGCCACACCTTGTCCTAGGTTCTGGAAACAGGGTGACAAATAAGATTTCCCAGAGGCCTATGGGGTGGGGTGTTTGTGGGGATACTGTTAGGATGACTATTTCAGAGCATAATAAATACCATACAGTGGCACTGCTTTTAAAATTTAGAGCAAACATCCAAGAGGGGAATCCAAGGCCACAGTTCACCACTGGAGGCTCATTTCCTAAGATTCAAGACTGTCCCCAGACAGAGTTTGGGCCCATCTAGCCTGTGGTTTGTGCTTTCATGATTCCTCTGTTGGGAGTACCTCGCTCCCGGTCCCACTCCCAGTGCAGCTTTCCTGGGTCCTCTCCTTTAGGTTGGAGGCAGGCGTCCTCCATTTGGAACTACCACAGCACTTAATCCTGTGCTTTGGAACTTCTTACTCAGCCTCAAACAATAATAAGGGGTTTCTAGACCTTGTCTCTTCATCTACATTGAGAACTCTGTTTAATCCATTTTCATTCTCCCCTCCCTGAGCACTACTGATGCAGTACCTATTTCCTCAGTTAAATTTGGCAGTCCAGTTCCCATGAGGAGGGGCTGGTGAGTCCAGCAACTATAATGGAGTGGTTAACTTCAGGACACGACACAGGAACAGGGCCGCCTGGTAGTCCTGCTTCTTACTAATTGTGTGATCTTGGGCAACTTACTTAACCCCATCTTTAAAAATTGAGATAATGGAGGTTGAGAGAATCACTGGGTTAAAACATCAAAGCCCTGAGAGCTGTGCCTGGTGCTCTCTAAACATTCAAAAAACGTTAGCTATTATTATTATAGCTATTGTAAGGAGCCAGCTGGGTGTGCTTGTAAACAACTCCTGACACCCAAGCAGAGCTAGTGCAGACACACACATTGGCTCAACACACAGCCTCACTTGCAAATGGGGAGGGCGGGGAACTGTAACCCCATTTTAGACATGGGCAGAGGCTCAGGAAGTCGGGGGCATACATTCATATAATGAATACCTTTCTCAAGTGGGGGCTGCGACTTGGTGCTGGGGATTAAACCCAGGGCCTCACACATGCTAAACTGGTACTCTAACACTGAGCTATACCCTCAGCACCCAAGAGAGGTATGCTTTATATGAGGCAATTCTTACTCTCAGCAAGTCTGGGAAAAGGTGTGGGATCTATACTAGGACAAGCATCTTGATATGTTCTAAGTGTAGATTGGGCTTATGGGGGATGCTGTGTTCCTGGGGCAGATCAACACAGCAGTGAACAGCAACAGACTGGCCTGATCAACAGGGTACAAATCTGTTTGCCACTTATTGGCTCTGTTACTTGGGCAAGTTACCTGACCTATTTATATAATGGGGCCAATAATAGTACCTGGGTTGTGAGAATTAAATTAGTTATTTGCATGAAATGCTTGGAGTGGTATCTGCCAGATAGTAACTATAATAAAGCTGAGTTAGTATTAATATGCCCAGTGTAGACAAGTATCAGACAGAAGGCCGGGGGTGGTGGATTTGATGCTCCTCACCCTAGAATTGGCTTTGCCTACATCGTGGGTGGCATCTGTCTCTTCAGGGAGACTCGCCACCTGTTCCCTGTTCCTGAGCCAGGGAATTCCCTCCCATGGCGACTGACAGCAGCTCCTGGCATTCTGATGCCAGATGATCTGCCCACAGCAGTTGAGTGAGAATTAGATCACGTCTCACGGCCAAAGTTTGCCTGGGAGGACAGGCAGGTTTAGGAACCGAGGGTGTCCACTTAGGAAGGCTGGATACAGGAGGGGAGTGCAGACCCTGGGAAGCTCCTCTCCACGCCTTGGGCCTGTTTTGGCTGAGGGTGGTGCTGCAGACAGGGGAAGGGCAGGTGCCCAGGGAAGACAGGCATGATGCCAGGGTGTCTGCCAGCCCTTCAGGACACTTGTTTTGGCTTCCCTCCCTCTAGTAGGGAGCAGAGAAGCTGTTTTGTTTAGGCATCAATTGGGCAGGCTGTGGGAAAATAGGCAGGCAGGTTGCCTAAACTGTGCAGGGCTTGCTCTCCTCACAGGTCAGCCCACACAGTGGTGGCAGGGCTGCCACATCCCATTGTGCTTTCCCTCGCCCACAACTCCATCTTTCTCCTCTGATTCCTGACGGAAGCTCCTTCCCTAGCTCAGTCTCAGTGTGTGTGTGTGTGGGTCCCCATGGAAAGGGCCCACAGGTTGGTAGGAAGTACTCTATGCCTCCCAGGCTGGGCCTTGGAGAAGTCCCTAGTGGAACCTCTGGTGTTACAGATGAGGAAACAGTGGCTGAGGGAGAAGCAGGGACTTCCCAAGTCTTCACAGTGAGTCAGGGGAAGAACTGGAACTATAATCAGGATCAATCTCCCCTCACCATGGGAATTCCTCTTTTTATTTTTTAAATTGACAAACAAAACCAGAACAAAATGAAGGAATGCTCACACAAGGGAAAACTCACATTTGAGGGTTGGCATGGTTGCAGGCACTTTACATAAATATTCCCACTTAATTCCCACCACAAACCTGCAAACAGTCATTCTTCCCCTTTTATAGACGATGAGGGAACCTGGATGAAAAGAAGTTTCAAGACTTGATCAAGAATCCAAAGTTAGGCAGAGGAGGAACCAGACATATAACTCAGGGTTGCCTGACTGAAAACCCCAGAAACTTCACCCTTCCACCCACACCTGACTGTTCTACTCATTCGTGCCTGGTTTTCAGAGCTGTAATCAAAGTGCAGCTCCCAGTGGAAGGCTGCCGTCAGCGTCCCACATAGGCATCACTTAGCTTTCCCTGCTGCATCCCAGTCGGCAGTCTCTGGCTTACGTGGCTCCTCAGCCCTTTACAGATCATATGCTTGATATTTCATTTAATCTTCACAACAGCACACCTGGGAGGAAGACAAGACATTCTACAGATGTAGAAACCAAGGCTGAGGACAGTGATGTGCCAGAGATCACATTCAGAAAGTGCTTGGCAAAGATAGGGCTACAAGTCTGGTTTCCTGTCTCTTGATGTCAAAATCACATGTCTGCCAGCTCCCACCACAGCCTGGAGACTAGCTCTTCATCCTCCCTCATCCTCTAAATTGTAATATATACTCCCTGGCAGGGATACCAATTGACCAGATCATTCCCTGCCCCATTGCCTGCTTCCTAGGGACTTGCCTCTGGCCTTAGATTCCTGCTACCTTCTAGTGGGGCCCTGAATTCCTATGATTCTCCTGGCCTTACATATCCCCCATTCACTGCTGTGATCTTTAATCAATTTTGTTAAGACTTGGAGCTTTTGGAGGTTAGGGCCCAAGTCTCACCCCATAGACCTTCTCTTGACTAAGCCCAGAACAAGAGACTTTAAAAAAAATTAATTTATTATTCTAACAAGGTATATATAACAGCAGAATGCATTTTGATTCATTGTACACAACTGAAGCACAACTTTTCATTTCTCTGGCTGTACAATATAGCATCACACCATATGTGTAGTCATAGATGTACCTAGGATAATAATGTCCTTCTCATTCTATCATTTTTCCTGCTCCCCATACTCCCTTCCCTTACCCCCCTCCCCTTTGCCCAATTAACAATTCTTCTTTTTTCCCGTGCCTCCTCCTGCCATTATGGATCAGCATGCACTTATCAGAGAGAACATTCAGCCTTTGGTTTTTTGAGATTGGCTTACTTAGCTTAGCATGATATTCTCAGCTCCATCAATTTAGCTGCAAATGCCATGATTTTATTCTTTTTAAATGCTTAGTAATATTCCATTGTGTGTGTATGTGTATGTATGTATGTATGTATGTGTGTATATATATATATATATATATATATATATATATATATATATATACACACACACACACACACACATATACCATAGTTTCTTTACCCATTTATCTGTTGAAGGGCATCTAGGATGGTTCCATAGTTCAGCTATTGTGAATTGAGCTGCTATAAACATTGATGTAGCTGGATTACTATATAGTATGCTGATTTTAAATTTTTGGGTATAGACTGAGGAGTTGGATAGCTCAGTCAAATGGTGGTTCCATTCCAAGTTTTCCAAGGAATCTCCATACTGCTTTCCAGATTAATTGCACCAATTTGCAGTCCCATCAGCAATGTATGAGTGTGCCTTTCCCCCCACATCCTCGCCAACACTTACTGTTGTTTGTATTCTTGATAACTGCCATTCTGACTGGAGTGAGATGAAATCTTAGAGTAGTTTTGATTTGCATTTCTCTAATTACTAGAGATGTTGAACATTTTTTTTTTCATATATTTGTTGACTGATTGTATATCTTCTTCTAAGAAGTGTCTGTTCATCTCCTTAGCTGATTTATTGATAGGGTTCTTTGTTTTTTTGGTGTTAAGTTTTTTGAGCAGAACAAGAGACTTGTTGAATGATACTGAATGGAACCCAAGGGCTAGTTCTGCTACGAACTCAATGTGAGCCCTTGCTCTCTTCTGTCAGCACTGACCTTCAGGTCTCTTCCCAAGTGCTGCAGTTTGTTTGTTTTTTTTTTTAAATGGTACTGGGATTGAATCCAAGGCTTTATACATATAAAATACATACTTACACACAGCACTTTAAACACTGAGCTACATCGTCATCCCTTTTATTTTGAAATAGGTTCTCACTAAGTTGCCTACGGTAGCTTTGAACTTTCAATTCTCCTGCCTCAGCCTGTTGACTAGCTGGGATTTCAGGTGTGTCATCATGCCTGGCTCTAATGTGCTGAGATTGTTTTGAAGTTGGTTAGAGGAGGAGACAGACACACCCACCCAGGCTGACTAGAGGGCTGTGTTGGGCAGTAGAGGGTAGGGAAAGGAGACCCAAGTTCGAAGCAGGTGAATGGAAGTGAGGTCCACAGTCTGCAGTAGATCCCCAGGCGGGCTTGATGGGGTTCAGGAAGGGATGGCTGCCATTTGGATGTACTGATAAGCATTGCCGAGTAGCCTGTGCCAATGTGTCAGGGATAATGACAGAGTGGAGAGGGCCATGGAACTCAGCTGCAGGGAGTGTGTGTGCGGTGCCTTGGTATATAGTATGGACAGGTGGGCTGGTGGCCACATTTTCTGGAGAGGGCCTTGGATGGAGTATAAATCTGACCTGGGTGCATGCTTTGTGCCTGTTGTGGGGTGTCTTTCCTACTGTAGGTTTGGTAAAGGGCTTCTGCACACTTTTGTCTTCCTACAGTTTCTCCCAGAAGTTCTGTGTAATACCAGAAGAGCTGGTCTTCTAATACCCACTTAAACACCTGTTCAAAGCATGCTTTTGATCCTGGCTCTGACTTAATCTTAGAATCACGTTCTGGGAGAAGTGTACATTGGAGGATGTTGGAGCGAGAGCACAACTTCAAAGTCAGAGGGAGATAGGGTCCAGACCTGGCTCTCCTTTATTAGCTGTGTCCTTAGGTAGGTCATTTCACTTCTAAGCTATAGTCTGTGAATGCCCAAATGGGGTCATATGTATAATGAGGGTTGGAAACAATATAAATAATGTGGCTATTTCAATGCTTGAAACATGGAAGAAGCAAAATAAAGCATAGGTGTTATTAACTTTTTTCCAGATTGAGAATCCTATCCGTAGCCTCTTTGATATAAGAAAGCCAGCACCTGCTTGCCCAGCCCTAGGGATGGGCAGCTCACCTCCTCCAGAGGCAGCTCAGAAATCTTCTTCCTGAGACCCAGTTGAGGCCTGTACCAGTTTTGTCACTGGGGCCTCAGTGCATTCTGCTCTGCAGCCCTTTCCCCAAAGAATCTTAAGAGGTCTTCCTGGGAACACAGTGCTCATCTACAATGCAAAAGCAAGACTTTGGAAGTCCTCATCCTTGTTCAAAGAGGTACATTTTAAGTTGGCTTACACAGGTCACAGAAATTCCTTCCCCTGTACTATGGAGTTTGGAACACATGAATTGTATTGTCTTCAGTCTTATTTTTCCTGGATGAATGCTCCCAATTCTTTTAAACATTCTTCACAGAGGACCATTTTTTATGGAAGAATCAGTTTTTTTCCCAAATTCATCACTTCAGGGCAAGTCACTTATCTTTACTGAGTCTCCAGTTCCTCTTCCATAAAAATGAAGAAAATAATACTATTTCATAGGGGTACAGTGAAAATTAATTCAGAAAAATCATGAAAACTTAGTATTTGAATAAAGCACCTGTAAATGTTAAATATATATATTTTGGTTCTGGGGATTGAATCTGGGGTGCTTTGCCACTGAGCTGCATCCTCATACCATTTTTTTTTTAGACACAATATCTTTATTTATTTATTTTCATGTGGTGCTGAGGATCGAACCCAGTGCCTCACATGTGGAAGGCAGGCACTCTACCACTGAGCTACAGCCCCAGCCCCCTCATACCTTTTTATTTGGAGATATGATCTTGTTAAGACACTGAGAGTCTCACTCAATTGCTGAGGCTGGCCTCATACTTTCAATCTCCTGCCTCAGTCTCCCTAGTTACTGGGAGGCAGGGGCCAGGCCTGGCTCTCCTTTATTAGCTGTGTGACCTTGGGTAGGTAATTTCACTTCTAAGTCACAGACATGTGCTACCATGCCTAGTTAAAACATTAAAAAAAATGTCTCCAAAATAAAGGGGTGATGGTGGTACTGATGATGTAGCTCATTGGTAAAGCACCCTAGGTTTCAATCCCAAGGAATGTGGAAAAAGAAAAAAAAAAGAAAGAAATCTTTTTTTTTTTTACTGTGGCGCTGAGGATCCAACTCAGGGCCTCGAGTATGCTGGGTAAGCACTCTACCACTGAGGCATACCACAAGACCCTCAAAAATCACATTTTTGAAAACATATTCAACAGGTAAGTCTGCTGATATTGCCCTTAGCTCTTTATCAAATATTGAGGGGAAATCATTCCAGAAAGTCATTTGCTACTCTAAATGATGGCAAATCAGGCAAAGTATGACTCCTAAATAAATAAAATAAATTCCTAGGGTCTGATTACATCTGTAAAGAGCCTATTAATTCTAGAGTTCATTTACCTTATTCTTAAATGGGCACAAAAGCCCAGAGAAGTCTCAGAGATCAGTGGTCTAGGCTGGATCCTAAATCTCCCAATATCCATCAACTTTATATCCCCAGTATTCACTTCCCAAGGAGGAAGCCAAAGAGAGGATGATCTCTGGGTCAGAGCAGTTGCACTAAGGACTAGGATTCAGCAAATCTTTGTTAGGCACCTGCTGTTGCAGAACATTGCATTTAGGCAAGTGCTGATACCCCTCCCTTACTAGTGAAGTGTCATTTATGGATGGTTGGTATGGGACCTAGCCCCGGTAACGCCTAGGTTGATTCTATCTTGCTTACCCCTATCGCCCCCAATGCCTGGCATTAAATCTTGGCAAAAGGCAGGACCCAGCAAATACCTTCTCAATGATGAATCAATGAATATTTTTTGAGTACAGAGTATGTGTTAGGTTCTGTGTAGGAGAAACTCTAATTAACACATGCTTGTGAGGATGGTATGATATAACTCCATTTAATAAGTGAGGAAACAAAGGCTAAAACAAGGGAATGGATTATCCTGAAGGCTTCACACTGAACCAGTGGATCCCAGCCTCTATACCTCCTGTCAGGGCTGTAGCTGTTGCTCCATAGTCCTCTGGGCTCAGGAGCCCCACCCACCTGTTCCCTTGCCCTTGGCCTTCCCTGATCTAATAGAGGACTGTGGTGGAGGGCTGATTTTTGAATAGCCTCAAGGAAACCAGAAATAGCAGGGTGTGTCTCCTGGTTTAAACATAGCTCTAGATAAATCTTATTGAAGCACAGCTGATTCTATCACTTTCCTGCTTAAAACTCTAGATTCAGTGTAAACCACCTGAGGTCAAGTTCCACCTTCCCAATTTCTGACCACGTGGCCGCCTGGCAAATTACCCTGGTCTATGCAGGCCTCACTTTCCTCTTTTGCCTGAACTGCACTTCTGAGAACAATTGCCTGCAATTCCAACTTCTGAAAAAACCGTGGGGGTGATTCAGCTCATTCTCCACTCAGCCCTGTGGCTCCGAGCAAGGGGAAGAGGCATTTCCACTCTTTTCAGGACCCAAGAAGGCTGATACCAGGGCCTGCAGATCGTCTGGACAGAGCATGATGGTGAGTGGGAGGACATTTCCTAGATAAGCATCCTCATTGGTAGATGAGCCACCCTAAGTTCACTCAGTCAAGGGCAAGCAGAGTGAACTGACGACACTCAAAGGTCCTCACTCCCAAACAAGGGCCCCGGGTTTCTTTTATGTACCCTACTGCCTCTTCTACTTTACCCTATGTTGCTCACCCACCACCTCTTTCCTTCTTCCTTCCCTCCCTTTCCTTCTTTTTGGAGATCAACCTAAGGCCTCAAACATATGAGGGCAAGTGCTCTACTACCAAGCTACACTCTCAGCCCCTGTATTTTTTTCTTTTTCTTTAAATATTCATTTTTCAGTTTTAGATGGACACTATCTTTACTTTTATGTGGTGTTGAGGATCCAACCCAGTGCTTCATTTCTATTTCTGCTGTGACCTTTGGAGAGTCTCCACTTTTCTTCAGATACAGTGTGACACGGTAGCAATGTCTTTTAGACTGCTCTGCTCCCTTTCAGCAGAGTCTCGATTGTCTTGTAGTAGACAGCGTTTTCTCTTTTGCAGAGCAAACCGCTTACTTCTGTACTTCCCACCCCAAATCGCAACGGACTGGCACCTGTAGCCAGTTGTAAAAGGATTTGTCCATGCTCAACCCCTTGTGCACAATTAGCTAGCAGGTAAAGAGGGATGTGAGTAGCCGAGAGGAAGCAAAAAAATAGATCTCTCTTGCCATGGGCATACCGGGCCCCTTCCCATTGTAAAAACCTCCCTACGAGTGTCGCCCCCCACCATTCCTTTACCCGGACACAAACGCTCAGCTAAAGCCGGCAGGAGGCGGGGGCGGCCTGTGCGCGTGCGTCGGCGCAGGGCCCTCTCCCGCCCACGTGCGCGCCCCCAGCTGGAGGCGCGCGCCGCGGCGAGCTGGCGGGAAAGCGCGCGGGAAGCCCCCGGCTGACTCCCGGTGTGGGGGAGGGGGCTGGAGGCGTTTGGAACGTGCCACTCACGGAAAGAAATAGGGGAATTTTCGCGCTCCTCTAGAGTTTCTACCTTTCCCATCCTCCGACCAATCCGTTAGTTCCCCCCCGTCCCCCATCAGGATACGGAGCCCCGCGCCGCGGCCTCACGCCCCCGCTGCAGCCTGGCTGGGCCAGCTAACCTGATGGTGCTGGACTAAGCGGTTCCCTCCTCCGCCGGAGCGGGGCGCTGCGCCGCGCGGTGGGGCCGGAAATTCCCGCGGCCTGAGTGGTGGAGCCCTAGCAGGGAGCGCGGCGCCGCCTTCCTCGTCCCGGGGCCGGGCGGGGGCGTTGGGCACCGCGAGGGCCGGGTTGCCGGAGTGGGTGGGGTTGGGGGCCGCCGCGTCCGCCTGGAGCACGGGAGCAGGCGGCAGAGCGGGCGACGCGGCAGCACCCTACCAGCGGCTGGACTAGTCGGGAGACCCTAGCGCCCCTGCTCCTGGCCTCCGCCCCCTCGTGGTCTCCGCCTCCTTGCCTCACACACCCCCCGGGCCGCCCGGGCCCCAGGCCTTCCCGGCGCTCCTCCTCCCTCTCTTCATACTCGCTTTGGCCGGGGTCCTCTTGCTGCCTGCTGGCCTTGCTGCTTCTGGGGCGAGTCCTCCTCCTTGGGCTCCCCTTTCTCTCTCTCTCTCTCTCTCTCTCTCTCTCTCTCTCTCTCTCTCACACACACACACACACACACACACACACACACACACACACACACACTCGTGCCCTTGCTCTCTGGGCCACCCCTTCCTCTCCAGCCCTACTCCTCTCGTTCTTGCTAACGCCGCCGTCGGGGGAGGATTGATGTCCCTTCAGCATCATGCAGCCACCGCCGAGAAAGGTAAGGGCGCAGCCGTGGAGCTTTGGGGTTCGGGAGGGTATGCGTACTAGGAATGCGGCTGGGGCGACCGCTGCGCCCCCTCCCCCTCCCCGCAAGGGGCCGTGACCGCTTTCGCCTCTGGCTTGTCACAGAGTTGCCGCTGGTTCCAGGCGAGTGTTTGTGGGAGGGCGTGTGAGGTGCCTTTCCAATAGAGGGACTGCCGGGGTTCGTCTCCTTCACTGCACTGAAGATGCCCCCAGACATTTTACAGGAGTTTCGGGTGTGCATTTGTATGTGTACGCCTGCATGGCAGTGCTGCCCGCTGCAAAGTGCATTCTCGGGGCTGCATTGAGTGGAGGCGGGGGAGCCCCTGCAGATTTGCAGAGCCTTGTGCGTGTGTGATTGTTTAGTCTGCACCAGGTTTGAGCCCTCCAGCCGCTTGTCGCCACCCCCGCCCGTTTGCAGATTTGCGGGAGATTTGTTTCAAGCCTAGTCCTAAGGTTTGGCCTGGTTTTCCCACGGGGCTGCCGAAAAGAAGTTGGAATAGTCATAGCCCTCCCATTCTAGGGAAAAGCAAATTAAGAATTGATGGATCCTGTTTTTCTACCCCCACCCTTTCCACGAGGTTCTTTCCCCGCCCCCAGCCAGGGGGTAAGGAGGCGGTGGCATTGCCCCCAGGAAGGCAAGAACCGAACCCTTCGACAGTGCACTGTGCGTGGCGTGTGCACTTAGATCTGGCCTTGGATAGTCAGGGTGGGAGTGACGAGTGTTCTTGGCTTGTCAGCAGCTTCCCGCTGCGCCCTTCTCTGGCTTTTCCAGTGGCCGAGGCTGTGTCCTTGTCCTTTAAATTCTGCACATGGGTACTGAATGTCTTCTGTGGACACTGGGTGGAGGAGGCCATTCTGTCCTCTCGTGGGGAAACATTTGCTGAATGCCTAACTCATCCGTGTCTTCTTTCTCTTTCTTAATCCGGGATCAGTTAAGTGAGACCTTTTCTTTTGCACATGTACTCCCACTCCTCTGGGTAGCCTCGCTCCAGTGGCCAGGATTCCACGATTGTAACCTCGAACCCTGAGGTCCGGCCTGGCAGGCTTGGAGGCTCTGGCCCGCTGGCATTTGCTGTTTAAAGTGGAGCCTTCACCCGGCCTGGCTTGCTGTGTTAGTTTAAAAGCACTGCATATGTTGGAAGGTCACTTTTGCTTTCTCCTTTGTGAGATTGTGATTTGACGCGCTGTCAGCGAGTGGAGGGCATCATCCTGAGACAGTGTGCTTTCTTGCAGCCATTATGGAATAATTTATGTAGTTTGATTCATTACATATTATTTCATGATTGTATAAATTTCGGTCATTAGGTATTAGGTACTCTTATGCTCTCCTCTCCCACCTACACTCTGCTCACTTCTCCTGGTGGTTAATGTCTGAATCTTTTTTGGAAGAAATAGAAGACTGGCTCTTTTAAAACTGTTAGAGGACCTAGGTATGTACTGAGCTTGTGCATGAAATAGAATGGCAGTTTATTTTTCATCTTTTTATAATTTTTATACCAGTGTATTTTCATTCAGCCTGTTACAGGTCATTTGACTACCTTTTTATTAAATAAATGTGTTTAATAATGAAACTAGATGGCAAGTAGTGGGTTTACGTTCTTTAGGGAGAGAAAAGTAAGAGGTGTATATATTCTGACAAATTTTAGAGTTTTTCCTAATTTTTTTTTTGTTCAAGTTGTAGTTTGGCCTTAATAAATATATGGTGTATTTTAGGTGAAAGTAACACAAGAACTGAAAAACATTCAAGTTGAGCAGATGACAAAACTTCAAGCCAAACATCAAGCAGAATGTGATTTGCTTGAAGATATGAGGTAAGGTTGTAGTAAATAGTTTGAGAACTTTAAAAAAATTATTTTTAGTTGTAGATGGGCTTAATACCTTTATTTTATATGGTGCTGAGGATCGAACCCTGTGCCTCACACGAGCTAGGCAAGTGCTCTACAACTGAGCTACAACCCCAGCTCCTAGTTTGAGAACTTCCATATCTCTTTTTCAAAGAACCTTTGAGTTGCCAACCCTGTTTGGATCTACTGATGGAATTTCCTTTTGGATTTCCTGTTTTAAGGCTGTTAGAACTTTGACTCAGCTGGAAATTATAACTGGAACTAACACAATACAAACTTTTTCTCTGTAGTGTACACATACTATTATGAAAAAAACAAGGGCCTTAAAAGTCTGTCAGTCAAATTATAATTATTGAAGTAAAAATTCTTACTTATGTCTTTCCACTGAATTGTAACAATTATTCACTGTATAATTTTACACAGATTTTTAAATCAACTCTTATGGTTAATGGTTAATATCTGGGGTGAACCACTCAACCCCAGATGATTAGATACTAGCACTGTTTGTTAAACATGACAAACATATAACTGTCTTTGAATGTTAAACTTAGTGAGAACTATGTTTTCATTTTATTTTATAATTAAAGTTACTTATATTTATAATCAAGATAACTTTTAATTTAATAAATAAGACATCTTAACTAACATTGTGAAAATTAGTATCTTTCTATACAGAATGAAGCATGACTTTTTGAAAGAAACGCACTAACCCTCTCCTTTTTTTTAACAATCCTGTAGTAAAAACTGACAGTTCGACAGATTCTTTTGTAAGGGATAGAAGATGATTTGCATATTGAAATGGTGGTTGCAGTTCTTATTTCACTTTAGTAATATAATTATCAAATTGCAGTTGGATCTATAAGCCTCATCAATTGCCTAACTTTATGTTGGTTTCATAAAAAAATACTAACTAGATAATATTATGATAAAGTATATTTGTTTGGAATTGCTAATAGCCCAAAGATTTTAGTTTAAGGTGTTTCATTTTTTCCTTTTCCATACTTATGTACTGTTTATGAACATTTCAGCTATATACCTGTTCTTTTAGGGTTTCTGAAATCTATTCTCATCTCTCTTGGATTCACCAATATTGTTGTTTTTCCAACTGAAAAGTACTGTATTTTGTGGTACTGAGGATTGAACCCGGGGCGTTCTACCACTGAGCTATAGTCCTAGAGCTGTTTTTTTTTTTTTTTTTTTTTTTTTGAGACAGTTATTTCTGAGTTGCCCAGGCTGGCCTCAAACTTGTGATTTTCTTGCCTCAGCCTCCCAACTAGTTGGGATTACAGGTATGTGCTACCATACCTGTTCACAAGGAAATTTTTAAATTTAAAAATTCCTGTTTAAGATATCTGAAGCTAGCTGGGTGCAGTGGCCCATACCTATAATCCTAGTGGCTCAGGAGGCTGAGGCAGGAGGGTTAAGATTGTGAGTTCGTAGTCAGCCTCAGCAACGGTGAGGCCCTATCTGTAAATAAAATACATAAAAGGGCTGGGGATGTGGCTCAAAAATGGTTGAGTGCCCCTCAGTTCAATCCCCAGTAAAACCACCCCCCCCCAAAAAAAAAAAAGATACTTAAAGTTTTATCATGGTCTTAAACATTTGTTAACTAAGTATATGAAGAAGATACTTTAATTGAAATCTCTAGATGAAGGAAGTAATCAATTTTCAGAAGCATTTCAGGTAGGCAACTTTAGTGTATAAGTGAAGATCCTGTGTTGGGTGTGGGTGGTCATGGCCATTAAGTCCTATTGATTTTCTCTTCTAAAAACTTTCTGATTGCTCTTTTCTCCTATTGCCTGTACCTTGGTGCAGGAGCTTATAGTCAATAATATGGATGTGGCAGACAGCTCTGGGTTTGTTTCTAGGCCCTGTGACCTACTAAGGTGTTATGACTTCTAAAATGTCTTCATTTTTCTACTCTTAAGTTGCCCCATTTGTAGAATGGGGCAGTTGTGGCCTTTATTCAGAAGGGTGATACAGATCAAATGACTGCATGTAGATGTGGTATATGTTAAGCTAAGTTGAGGTAGATTTTCACTCTTGCTGCTACTGTTTAGTTGTTTGTATTATTGCTGATCCGTGATATTTTGGCCACATTATTACAATAATATTCTAATTACCAGCAGTGTCCTTATATCTTCCATCCCCCAACCTCTCCTTTTTAATGTCTTTCATATTGTCATCAGTTAGCCATCAGTTATTTTATTATATATTAGCTCTCTGTGTACTTCTAGATAAAGGCCCATCACCTTGTCATAACATACATGATGCTCAGCAACCTAGCTGCAAGGTTTCCTTACTAAGTTACGTGGGCATGTTTCATGCCCATGCAGCCTTCTTTTTTATTCCTCCTACTCTTTAAGACATCTACTAATCTAGTTGTGTGTTGTACGTGTACGTCTTTGTTTGCTGTTCCCTCTGCCTGTTAATACCCTTCCTTCCACTTTTTCACATGGCAGATGCTATTACTACCTCTGTAAATTGTTCTCTGTGGTCTCAAAGGAGTTTGATTTTTCACATGTTTCTGGCTTCTCCCACCTTGTGAATTCTTTGAAGTTAGAGGTTATTTCTTACTCTTTTTTTTTGGTACTGGGGATTGAAGGCAGATGTGCTTTCCCACTGAGCTATGTCCCCAGCCCTTTTTATTTTTTATATTGAGGCAGGGTTTCATTAAGTTGCTTAGGGCCTTGCTAAATTGCTGAGAATAGTCTTGAACTTGTGATCATCCTGCCTCAGCTTCCCAAGTCATTGGGATTACAGGCTTGCCCCACTGCACTTGGCTTATTTTTAGTCTTTGTATCTTTAGTTTGGAATGGCAGAATTGTCAAGTGAATATAACTGTATTTAAATGTACTTTATTCAGCCTTGAATGGTGACACATACCTGTAACCCCAGTGAATTGGAAAGCTGTGGCAGGAGGATCACAAGTTTGAGGCCAGCCTCAGCAACTTAGCCTAGACTTTGTCTCAAAATAAAAAGGATTGGGGTATAGCTAAGTGGTAAAGTGCCCCTGTCTTCAGTCCTCAATACAGGAGAAACCATATTTGTTCTTAGGTGGGCTATTTTATAAGCCATTTGTGGAGGACTGTAGTAGGGTATCGTTGAGTTTGTGTTACACTTTAATTCATGAGGGCATGATAAATATACTGTACTATTTGATATAGAATGTATCTGTATTTATAAGTAAAATAAAAATTTAAGAGATTGGTGGTACTCTAAGGGACTAGCAGAATTTTTTAAAAGGAGTCAAATATGTTTTTCTGTTCAGTTCACTCCCTTTTTTTTTTTTTTTGGTAGTACTGGGGATTGAACCCAGTGGGGCACTATTTTTGAGCTATATCCCCAGCCCTTTTTATTTTATTTTGAGACAGGGTCTTGCTAAATTGCCAAGGCTGGGCTTGAGCTTGTGATCCTCCTGCCTCAGCCTCCAGAATTGCTGGGATTACAGGTGTGCAGTAATGTGCCTGACACTCCCATGTAGGGGTGTGTGTGTGTGGTGTGTGTGTGTGTGTGTGTGTTGTGTGTGTGTGTGTGGGCGGGTGGCGGGGAGAGGGTACTGGGGATCAACACCAGGGCCTTGTGCACACCAGGTAAGCACTCTACCACTGAGCTACATCCTAGCTCTTTCATGTAGTTTTTTTGGATATTAGGATATAACCCAGAGGCAATTTTACCACTGAATTATATCCCTAGTCTTTTTATTTTGAGACAGAGTCTTGCTAAGTTGCTGAAGCTGGCCTTGAATTTGTGATCCTCTTGTCTGGAATCAAGCCTGGCTTCCCATAATGTTTTGAATGGAATACTGTGTTAACCTACTAAAGCATGAGTATAGGTCTCTCTCTTCCTTTTTGTCCCATTGATTTAAGAACTTTAATTCTTAGGGTCTGCTATGTTATAGTATGCTTTATAGTTTGACACATTGTGAAATAAGGATGGCCATGCCATGTGTTATCAAATGTAGCTACATAATTCAGCTTTGTAGAAACAAGCCCCTTTGTTAAAAAAAAAAAAAAAGCCCCCATCTCCCCCATTACACAGAGCAAATGAAAATGCTGAAATTTTTCTATGGTTTCATGTGATGGGAAAGGCTCTATATTTCCTTTTTAAAAAATTTTTATTTTTTAGTTATACACAATACCTTTACTTTATTTTTATGTGGTGCTGAGGATCGAACCCAGGGCCTCATGCATGCTAGAGGAGCACTTTACCACTTAGCCACAACCCCAGCCCTATATTTCCTTTTGTGGAAATACTACACCTTATTGACTGTTACAGCTGTGTCTATGAATATCCTTAAATATACATTTTATAGAAATGTTTCAACTCCACAATAAGGAACTAAGAAATGATTATTTTTTGCTGCCAACAAACTATAAATGATGAAATATACTTCATATAAGCAAGACAGTTGTTTGTCTTATAAAAATTTTCATTAGGTAGGCATTTACTCATTTTGGTATACTACGGACAACTAGGATTTTAAATCATTAATGGAATACTTTATGTATACATGCTATATTGGTTATATATACATAATTTTGGCTTGCATTTGTAAGAAAAGTTTTTGAAATTGATGTCCAAAAGAGCAGCAATGTTAATCTCAAACATACCCAAGTAATCATCTACTTATTTTTCCTATTTTATTTTATTTTTTGGTGCTGGGGATTGAACCTAGGGCTTTGCAGATGATAAGCATAGTCTGTTCTACTGGGCTACTCCTTCACATTTAAAATATTTTGCAATGGAAACTAGATTAATAAACTGATTCTAGATTGATGCAATATAAGCAAGCAGCTGTTTGTGGATAGAGAAATGATAAAGGCCAAAGATGTCTTATGCAGAAATACACTGTACAGAGTGCTTTAGTTTTAACATATTTACCTTCATTCAAGCCCCAAGTTCCATTCAGAGCATTTGAAGACAGTGAAATGTCAGCTAAGGAGGTTTGTTTACTTTTTTCTTTT